AGACAGTAGCACTTGTAGCTGCCGTAAGTGTTCATGCACCTGTGCTTACAGGGCCGGGGCTTCAGGCCACACTCATTCAGATCTGAAAAGAATGTGGGTTGAAGCAGAAAAATCACAAATGCTTGGCACTCATGTAAACCATTTAAAATTCTTTTCTATATTAAAAAATGAAGGAGAAAAGTAGGTCAAGCTATAATAACTGTCATTTATGTTAAGAAAGAAAGCCTGTTAATGCAGTCTTAGTTTGAGCACTGGTTACACTAAGGGCAACTGGGAGTTACCTTGTCCTTTATGGATCTCTGTTCACAAAGGACAGTTAGGAAGATTCCCCCTACAGTCAGGTGCCTGCCTTAACATCCCTAGAGAGAGCAGCAAGTAACCTCCTCACGGGCACAGGTGTCTGTCACCTACCAAAGTACTTGCATTCTACAACTGGACACACTCCTGATAAGGACATCCTATTCTTTCAATGTCTTCTTTTCTCTGTTTATGCAGATACTACATGAACATATTTTACTTTCTAGAAAATATATAGATTTTATAACATTTGGCTGTTTTGATTTTCATAAAGGAAAGGTATTTTCAGAGTATAAGAACTATACAAATTAAGAATGATCATTATTACAGTTTTCCTTGTTGAATCTTGTGGATTTGATACTGACTTTAGATTCAAGAAATGTCAATGTCCTACCTTAGCAGTGCATGCAAGTCACTAAATGAACTTCAATACAAACCTGCCAACATATTTGCATTCATTCAGCAGTTAACAAGGGCATGTGGAAACACTAATGGCCCAAATGTAATAGATTCCCATGTATTTTAGGTTTATTGCTTTAAGTATTACTATGAAATGAATTAATGAATTTCACATTACAAAAACATTCCAACCCAAGTTGAACATCGCCTCGAGTGAACATAAAACTCCTAATGACAAATAAACATTGAAATAGTAATGCCCCAAATATAGACTTCATTAAAAACAAATGTGACCACATGTTTATTCTGTCTGGAACCACCAGCGTAAGTACCTGATTAGCATAATTTAATTGTCTATTAATCCATGTCATTGAGTAAGAAATATAGGTAATATATCTAGTTACAAAGTTGTTTTCAAATCTACTGAAATTTAAATTTGACCTGCTCAATTATTAGAAATCTATATATTTCACTTAACTAAACCACCAAGTTACATCACTTTGAAAACCACTAAGTAATTATTACATTTAAATTTTTTTTTCCTATCTTATTGATTTTCTAAGTTTTCTATGTTTTACCCAACTTGTAAGCAGATTCCGAGCTGGGCAAATCTGGAAAGGTTAACTAAATAAACCAAATACTTTTGTCATCTCCTATGCTTTCTTTAGTTTTCTATTTTGTCTCTTGCCCAGGCAAAGGTCTTCAAAAAAGAATCACATTTTTAAATATTTCAAAAAAAAATTTCCTCATA